GAGAAAAATGAAGGACAAAATTCAAATTCACAAGAAAAGACCAGACTTACTAGTCTAACAGAGGCTGGAAGAACCTCCGAGACGATGGCTCCCGGACACCCTGCTAACTCAGAACTAAAGCCACTCCTGAAGTCCACCTTTCAGCCAAAGATCAGACAGGACTATAAAACAAACAATAACACACATGAAGATTGTGCTTATTAGTTCAATCAAGTATATGAGATGAAACGGGCAACAAATTGCCCAAAAGCAAAGGCAAAAATGCAGGAAGTGACAAGAAAATTGGACGAATGGACACGGGCAACCTGGAGTGAAAAGCGGGAGAGTGTGGACATATTGCTGGAATTTCAGAACCAATGTTACAAAACAATATGCATAAATTTTTGAATGAGAAACTAATTCACACTGTAAACTTTCACCTAAAGCACAATAAATTAAAAAAAAAAAAACTAAACTAAACAAAACATGGTTTAGGCAATTGTATACATGTGAATAAACTTTTAAAAAAAGGGAATGGTATGATAAACATCAAATTCACGGCAGTGGTTAATTGAGGGGAGAAAGGCAGGGTAATGGGATAGAGGAGGAATACATGGATTAAAAAAAAAACTAAACTCGTTGTCATTGAGTCAATTCCAACTCAGTGATTCTACAGGACAGAGTAGAACTGCCCCATAGGCTGGTGGATTCAAACTGCTGACCTTTTGGTTAGCAGCCGATCTCTTAACCACTGTGCCACCAGGTCTTGCTTTAGATATTGGATTCAAAGATACCCATTTTATTAAGAATGAATGAATGAATAAAACAAAGAAAAGAGTGTCATGTATGGACCAAGTATGACAGGGTGTCATGCATCAAGAGTTATAATTAGTCTAAAAATGGGCACCCAAGGTCTGTGTTTAAAAAGGCAGGGGGCCAGTAAATGAGAATAGCCATCAATTACAAAGGCAGATGATCAGTTATAGCTCTAGAAGAGAAATGAAATATAACATGGAATTCTGTCACTAGACAGGAAGTTATTTGCAAAGGTAAGAGACTACTGCTCTCTTACTCTGAGTCAAAGGTGAGGGTGATGAGTACCTAGTTCTTTCCAGGTACTTCCTTGCCTTGCTCCGGGACCAGTTCCCTGCACCACCAGATACACGTGGCCTGGTCAAGGCACTGTTCTAATAAAAGGCAGCTGCAGCTCCATTCCAAATCCATAGGCCCCAAGGCCAACACAGAGACTCAGCAGCAGTGTTCGTAAGAAAAGCAGACTTGTGCTGAAGCTACAGAGCAATACTTCTTTCATCAGTGTCCCCCACCTAGGTGAGGCCAAGGGGCCAAAGGGAGAGGCCTCCTGGAGGTCAGTTCCTAACTGGGAAGACAAAGAATGTCCAAGTCAGGAGAAGAGGTATTTATGGTCATGCCCTGAAGTAACTGTGAGGGCTAGCCCACGCCTGTCAGCAGAGCTATCCACTTGAATTCCAAGCTGGGTATCATGAATAACACAGTCTGGATACCTTCCTCAGGGAAAGGGAGGATGGGAAAAATAAATCATATTTATCATCGCCTTAAAAAGTAGAAGCATCTGCTAAAACCCAAGTGGCTTCTTTGGTACATGGTATGTTGGATTTTAGTGGAGCTGAACACCAGGCCCTGCTGTCACAAGTCAAACTGTAGAAAGCACCACAGGGGCCACGGCACACTTCACGGGGAAGATGCCCTGAGCCGGGGTGCTCCCAACAGGCAAAATGCCACATAAATATTAAGTCTATGGCTATTAGAGTCCGTGGGTTGCACAGTGGTTAACACTCTTGGCTTCTAACCAAAAAGTTGGTGGTTTGAGTCCACCCAGAGGTGCTCTGGAAGGAAGGCATAGTGATCTACTTCCGAAAATGAGCCATTACTGTGAGGAAATAAATTTCTCTTTGTTAAAGCCATCCACTTGTGGCATTTCTGTTACAGCAGCACTAGATAACCAAGACACAATTTGGTACCGGGAGTGGGGTGCTGCTCTAACAGATACTTAAAATGTGGAAGCAGTTTTGAAACTGTGACTATATAGAGGAGTGGCAGCGACAGAGGACCAGCAGCAGCAGAACCAGGAGACCAGCGCGCTGGAGCCAACCCACAGAGCCAGAGAGCTGAGTGCCTGTGTGAAGGAGGCTTACTGGCAGAGTGGGGTGCCTCCGGGCACTTACGGGTGGCACTACAAAGCTTTGGAACACTTGCCCCAGCAGGGCAGATGCAAGTGTGAGGCTCGAGGGCCGAGAGGCCACAGGAAGCCGAAGCTGAAGAGACAAGGGACACAAGAAGCCAAGCTGTCTCAGTCTCAAAAGGTATGGCCAGGACCTCTGGGGTTTCAAAGCGTGGAGCTATGGCCTCTGGTGTTTCTAAGAGTGGAGTCGTTACTCAGGTGGACTGGGAGAATGGGGCTACCTAAAGCCATGGGAGCAGAGTTGCTGTCCCAGTGGGCCTGGAAGGTGGAGCTGAAGCCCAGGGCTGAGGGACCCCCCTCAGAACCTGGAGAGGGTGGCCAGTACCTAGAGTCTAGAGGGCAGGGCCATTATGTAAATTGTCTCAGAGAACAGAGTTTTATTTTGAAAGCCTTGAGGGCTAATGTAATGTGTTCCACTGACTTGCTTGGCGCCTGTTATCCCTTCTTTTCCTCCAGTTTCTCCTATTTGTAATGGAAAGTCTAGCTTGTGCCTGTTCTGCCATTGTACCTTTGGAAGCAGATAACTTGTATTCTAGATTTTACAGATGAAGGAGAATTTTTGGATTTTGGACTTGGAGTTAAGACTTTTGCTATGATATGATAGCATGAATATGTTTTGCATATTGCAAGGATGTGATTTTTTGGGGGCCAAAGGGTGGAATGTCATGGATTGAATTATGTCCCCTAAAACATGTGTGTATCAATTTGGCTGGGCCATGATTCCCAGTATTGTGTGGATGTTCTCTATTTTGTGATTGTAATTTTATGTTAAAGAGGATTAGGGTGGGATTATAACACCCTTACTAAGGTCACATCCCTGAGCCAATGTAAAGGGAGTTTCCCTGGGGTGTAGCCTGCACCACCTTTCATCTTACAAGAGATAAAAGGAAACGGAAGCAAGCAGAGTTGGGGACCTCATACTACCAAGAAAGCAGCACCAGGAGCAGAGCACGTCCTTTGGACCTGGAGTCCCTGCGCCTGAGAAACTCCTCAACCAGGGAAGATTGATGAGAAGGACCTTCCTCTAGAGCCGACAAAGAAAGAAAGCATTCCCCTGGAGCTGACGCCCTGAATTTGGACTTTTAGCCTACTTTACTGTGAGGAAATAAATTTCTCTTTGTTAAAGCCATCCACTTGTGGTATTTCTGTTACAGCAGCACTAGATAATTAAGACAAAAACCCTATGGAGCAGAGTTCTACTCTAACACATGCGGTCACCATGAGTTGGAATGGACTCGACAACGACTGGTTTGTTTTGTTTGGTTTATGGTTATTAGAAAGAAAAAGCCAATTAAACTGCCCAAAGGTAAAAGCTCCCTGGTAGAAAGGTTTCTATTTCACATGGTCACTCTCACTGGTCAGCAGCCCTGTGATGCTTAAAGTATCAGCTTGGCTAGGTATGGTGCCCAGTTGTTGGTCAAACACTAGTCTGGGCTCTGTTATGAAACAGCTGTTGTTGTTAGCAGCCACTGAGTCGGCCCCTCACACAAGGCGACCTCATGCACAACAGAACGAAACACTGCTTGGTCCTGTACCATCCCCGTGACCAGTAACAGATCAGATCACTGGGATCCATGGGGTTTTTACTGGCTGATTTTCAGAAGTAGATCACCAGAACTTTCTTTCTAGTCCATCTGACTCTGGAAGCTCTGCTGAAACCTGTTCAGCATCATAGCAACATGCAAGCCTCCATCAATGGAGGGGTGGTGGCTATATTTGAGATACACCAGTCAGGAATCAAACCCAAGTCTCCGGCATGGAAGGGGAGACTTCTACTGCTGACCTACCTGTAGTTAAATCAGTTGGCCTTAAGTAAAGCATATCACCCTCCATAATGTGGATGAGCCCCATCCAATCAATTAAAGACCTTAAGAGTAAAAAGGGAGTCTTCCCTAGGGCGTTACTGCCTCCAGATTATAGAGACATTTTGTCAGAACTCCTTCACTCTCCCTGTCACCTAACCTATGGATTTTGGGATGCAAGCTAGCAGGAATCTCCAGCCTGTCACTTGACCTATGGATTTTGGATTTGCCAGCCTCCCACAAACCTGTGAGCCAATTCGTCTCTCTCTCTCCCTCCATATCACTGGTTCTGTTTCTCTAGAGAACCCTAACTAAGACAGGCCCCCGGCAGCTGTCGCCTGGGCTTTGCTGATGGTCCCTGGAGCCTAAGTCTCCCCACAGGCCCAGGCCTGGCCTCCTGCTCACCGACTGTGTCTAACACACACCTCTTGGTCACTGCCATCCACAGTTCCTCCTCTACAATTATTTAAGTCTTTCATTGTCACTCTTGCCACCTCCTTTCTCTCCTGGAATCCAATTCACATTTGGGTCTTAGACAGGAATGGAAACTCAACAATAATTAAGAATGTCCAGTGTTCCTTGGTAATAAGCAGCCTTTCCTACTTAGCACAGCCCATATAGATTCCAAAATGCCTGATGCTGGACTGGGAGGGTCAGAAGAAGTGCAAGGGGCAGGACCCACTCAGCAGACAGTGTCCTTCACAGAGCAAAGGAGAATTCATCCTGCAGGTTAGCACATGGCGGCGTGCAGTGTGCTCTGCCACAGTGGTAGATAAATGTCCCTGGGTATCAGGGTACGTGGCAGACAGGAACTATCTTGATTTATTTTCAGTTAAGATGGTTTCACCTTTGCTGGGGCATTCATTTGGAAGCTTTCTTCATAAACAAAAGAGTCCACCAAAATCACTGAAAATAATGTGCTCCTTTTGGGTAATTAGCTAAATGCTGTTTACCACCTTTTTTTCTTTGGGGAGAATTATATAAGAAACATAACAAACCTGCTTGTTTTCTTTCTCCAGAGCTTCTACAAAGCATTGTGTGAACACTTGAAGAGCGACCAGCACTTCTGGGGCTCCATCGGTTTCCAAGAGTGCACACCTGAGCAACGCAAAGTCAAATGACAACAGTTAATGATTCATCTTGCAACATACGAATGTGAACTGTGAAAGGGAAGAATGGAAAGATTCTTTTTGTGCCGTAAGCTTTAGCAGTATCTCGACTCACCAGATTCCAGTCCTTGTGTGAAAGTAGCAGAAATGTGTCGCTCCCTTTTCTAAATAATTTCTAAATCCCACTGTGCAGAGCTCTCTTTCTTGGTTCTTATATTACTAAACACTGAATATCCCATCCAACGTAGGCCTCAGTGCTCTTTACAAAGATCTGTGCACTATGTGCCTGGACATGCAGCATCAATGGACATTCTGCTTTTGCAGATGGAGAAAGACTTGCCCAAAAGGTACAATGGCTCAGTCATTCACCCAGCAAAGTGGCAGAAGAATGTGAAAGTACCTAATTTGGTTTCCATGAATTTTCATACAACTTTTTCTTATGTGTGTTTAAACAAAGAATCAACTCAAACTTTTGACAGTTTCAAACGATAAAATCTGACTTCTTATTTCTAAGCTCATTTAACTTAAAGTTGGTGAGCTTAGAAACTAGCCCAAGTGCTGGGTTATTTGCTGCTGGAAGAATTTCTTTCCTGAGGTCTGCTATCTGCCTGGAGCCTCTTCTGCTGTGGGGAGAGGGGCATGGAACGAGCAGAGTCCTGGCTGCACTGGCATCCAAGCAAGGGGCTAGAAATGCTCCCTAGGGCACCAGCTCCCCCAGTGGAGTCCAGTCTTAGGACTTCATGATTACAACACCCACTAACTGCCAGCCATAATCCCACCCAACACCCAACCATCTCCTCAGCTCTTGTCACCTGTAAATCCAATTTGTTTCCCAAGAAGTATAGTAGCATTTTCAAAATAAAAATTAATGCGCTGTGAGATAAACACGCGCAATTTATTTTGCCTTTCGGGAGAGCTCTGTTATGAATGGCTTTATTTATTTATTTTTCTTGATTTTCCTTTGTTTTAAAATCCTTTAAAAAGATTGGTCAGCCCCCATGTGGTGAAGGGAATATATTGCTACCCTTTATTCTGAGCTGAGAACACTCCTACATGAATAGTTAATTCAGTTCTGATTTTCCATGATTACTACTAGAATTTAAAAAGATTAGAAAAAGGAAGTTATCTGAATTCTTAGGTTGGCTTTTAAATATACGTTGACTTTTGAATTTTCACCTCTAACTACCAAAAAGCTCAAACGGGTAAGAAGAAATCAGAAATGCGAATTTCCCCACAATACAGTCAGAGACTACCGCGGAATCTTCTGTTCATGATTGGAAATCGAGCATGTTTAGATGGATCACCAGCAGAACAGCCTCACATTTACCTGAACATCTTGTCCACGATTCTGAATATGGCAGGATGACAGGCTGCTTGAGGCTGCAGAGGAAAAGACCATGAGAAAGTAAAATACCACAAGCACTTCATTAAAAACAACTTGCTATTTTCAAGTAAATGAACTGTCCAGAACTGCTGGTGACTTTGGGTTAGACAAGAGAACACACGAGTGCTACACTGGAAAGAGCCCCGTGTACAAATGCAAACAGTGTCCTCTTTGGGCTGGGGATATGGGCAAGCCTTAATTCCTCCTTCTGTTCTTCTGTATGTTCACATTTTCTACAAGCCCATCTGATCCAGAAGAATCAATAAGTATCATGGAAAATTACAAACTCCTCTGTTGGCATGCTGTGTGAAGACAGAGCCTGCCTGTGCTGCGAGTTGTGCTGACTGCCTGTGGTTCTTACCTTAACATCAGGTCTGCTGTCTTTTTGTTTCTGTTTATTATATAATGAAGGTCACTGGGTGCGTTCATTTACTAAACTAAGGTTGGCGGTTCACAACACACCCAGAGGCACCGTGGAAGAAAGGCCTGGTGATCTGCTTCTGTAAAGATTACAGCCAAGAAAACCCACTCTGTGGCACATGGAGTCGCCAGGAGCCAGAGTCAACTCAAACGCAATGGATTTGGTTTTTAGGTTTATTATGTAATGAGTGCACAATAACGTAGAATTATTACTGAGGAAAGCACTGACCATCACAATACTGGACTAAAAAGCATCACATTTTAGTGCACTAAAAGTTTAGCAGCTTAAGATATTTAGGATGAAGAGGATTAATGGAAAAAAAAAATGAAGATACTATCATCTTGAATGATGAAAGCTGTCTAATTTATTCCTCGAATATTTTTGTGACAGGCTCCGAGGGGTTTAAATCTGAAGACTGTGGCCACCTGCAGCTTGGGTGGGGGGTTTCAGTGGGCTGGACCCAGGTTCTATATCTTCTGGCCATAGCTCAATGCATAAGATTAATTCAGATGAAACTGTCTATTTGTGTTCTAAAACAGATACTTTACAAAAAGCATCCAAAAGTTAGTGGATTAGGGTCGACGGCATTTCTTCTGGTTATAATGTGCTTGCTTTAAAACAAAAAAACAAAAATAAACTCATTGCCATCAAGTCTATTCCGACTCATAGCAACCTTATAGGAAAGAGTAGAACTGCCCCATAGGGTTTCCAAAGAATGGCTGGTGGATATGAACTGCTAACCTTTTGGTCAGCAGCCAGAACTCTTAACCACTATGCCACTTTAGGAAACAATTTTGCACAGCCCCTTCAACAAGATAAAGAAATAGGATATGCTTTGCCGCTCAAGTTCTCTTGACCACGTTGAAGAAAGAATAGTGCCTATCTCCACAGACTCCCATTCTAGTTCGGGTCTGCGCTGGCAGGCGAGCTGTAACATTGAGCGTGTGCCATCTAGTGTCCACACACCTCCACTACAAGCTGTCACAGAAAGCTACCAGGCAAGAGCTTGCCACTTGCGAAAATGATGGGATTTCCTGTTAATTATCTGAAGGAGAAAGACTTGTGATTTGTAGGTTACAAATGTCTGTTATTCAAATAACAGACTGTTAAATATCTAATATTAAATATTAAATATCTAATATTTAACAGTCTGTTAAACCTTTCTTCTTCTCCCTCATACTCCCTAATCCTTCACTGATGTGCATTCTTATCTAAAAGAAACCAACCAGAAATTCTAGATAAATTCATTATCTACTCAAGAAAGTCATTTGGCGGAACCATGGTTCCATCATGCAGAGGCGGATTCTTTCTTGGCTTTGATCTTGGGCAAGTCAGTTAATCTTCCTGCTTCTCAGCCTCACTGTAAATAATAACAGAGATGCTAACAGTTATTAAGATATCACTGGATATATGCCCAGAAAATATCATAAAAGTTTCTATGAATTCATAATGGAAAAATCAAACAAGAAGGGAGAAGCAAACTGCATGTCTTGAAGAAATGTGATTCGTCTAAGTCTGCTAGAACAATTTTTCAAAGTTTAGAATATAGATAATATGCCTCTTCACTACAAGAGTTTCAGAACAAACAGCACTGCTGTGCGCCCACAGACAGACAGATCCATACAACCTGAATATGCCCTCACGGGAAATGAGACTAAAATGGAAAAGGGTAACGTGGAACCATTTCCTTTTGCTCTAAATGGTTTAACTACCCCAGAGCCACTCTATAAGCTTCATGCTAACAGAGAATCACTCAATACTAATTACAAGGGTTTCCAAATGGAAAAAAAAAAAAAAAAAGAGGGTGTGGTAGGGGAGAGATGATCCAATATATAAATAGGGCTAGCATGTAAATCAAGGGGGGAAGCAAGAAAGGAAGTTCTAACTCAGTTTGTCAAAAGCGAATAGAGCTTGGATATAATTTTGTATTATATATATATGTATAGTGTTTTCTAGCAAAACAGATCAATTGAATGTTTTAAATGTCTTCAGACTGCGTAGAATCTGCTGTTCCCGTGTTGATATACTCTCCTCTTAGATTCCTTTCTTTTCAAATATTTTTAACCCTTGGTTGCGCTCAACCTGCTCCCACAACCTGTTTTAGCATGAAGACAGACAAGATGCCAGGAGATAGGGGAAACCATGCTGAGACAGGCTGGCAGAGACTGATTTTAAAAGAGTCTCTCTTGCTGAGCTCTGAACAGCTCTCTCTCCTCCACGGCCTTTACTGAGGGCTTTAAAGGGAGACTCTGCACTCCCCAAGCACATGATTTAAAGGTCAGGGAGTCCCCTCATGGGCACCAGAGCACTCACAGGCCAGGCATGCGTCCTAGGGATATCCAATCACTAATGCAAACTTAAGCTGCTTTTCTTATCAAGTGAATCCTCCAAACAGAATTAACGCCTACAGTCATGCTTCTTTGGAAGCCATGTATTTCCCTCCTAAATCTTCACAGTATCCCTGTGAGTGATGAGGCAACATTTAACCCGTGTCCCTGTTTTATTTGTAAAGCGGGACACTACAGTAACACACCACAGCCACTCTGCAACCTAGGGCTCCAGACCCTCGCTCTGAAGCCCCACTATCTAGGCAATTATCTTCCCTATAATGTGAAGAAAGAAAAGGAAGCCTTTCTTGGGTTCCATCTGCTTGTCTGTTTTTCTCTATCCCACCAAAATCTGTTCCTTCTCAAGCTCTTCTCTTCTCCATCTGGTCTAACGATTTTCATGTACAGATGATGTCGAGCCTAGGGAAACTATGTCACCAGAAGGCCATCAATAACATGAGTTTTGCCTTTCTTCACTCCCCGCTAGCCCTTTACTAACTGTCCCAGGAAGAATGGAAGGCGACGATGGACAGCTCCAGGCTCTTTGCTTCCTCTTCTTATGGACCAGATTGTTCTGGACATGCATCCCTTCCATCTCCCACAGCTACTGCTGTTTTTTTCACCTCCTCTCTGCCCACTCCTATCCCTCAGCAAAACAAGGGGAGGCGGCATCATCACAGAGTAAGTGCATCAGCATGGTGCTTCCCATCCTACGTTTTGGAGGAGAGGTGAGGGACAGGCCAGCTTGTCAGTCTGTACCACGAACTGTACAAATAACACTGGTTCTTGCTCTCTGCCCCTGATGTCTGTTTAATTTGTTATTTTCAACCTGATTCACCAAGGATTACTACAAGCCACTTGCCACTTAAAAGAGGCCTGAGAACACTGAAGAGCAAAACCGTCAGGAAGAAATATTTATTTTTCTATCATTTTCTGATTCTGTGTGGGTGTGTGTGAGAGAGACAGCGATAGAACTGGAGAGGTGGGAGTGAGAGAAAGAGCACATACAAGAACACAAACCAGAAAGGGAAATAATTATACTAGGATCTGAGGTGATTCAGAGACAAAAGTGAATGCCCCCTAGAAAAACTAAAAAGGCAGTGAAGGAACAGAACAACTTTCTCAAGCCTTTTTCATCTATTGTCATTAAAGATATTTTTTCCTAAAAAAATAAAGAGGGAAATTGTAGGCGAGAGTTGAGATATTAAAGTTCAAGAAGCGTGGAATAGATTCTCTTTCTCACAGTCTATTTTCATGTAGCTTAAATATTGTACTCAAGGCAACGGTATATTAGTGTTATTGTATCTATACAAGTAAAAGGGTGACTATACTCATAATAGAGCTTTGGTGGCACAGTGGTTTTTAAGGCTGCTAACCAAAGGGTCAGCAGATTGAATCCACCAGCTGCTCTTTCGAAACCCCATGGGGCAGTTCTACTCTGTCCTAGAGGGTCGCTAACAGTCAGAATCGACTCTACTGCAATGGGTGATATTCATAACACAATATCTGTCTTCTTAAAAAAAGGATTCTCTGTAACATTCATTTCAATAGTGAACTCCTTTATTGAGTTAAAAAATGATTTGGTTTAAAAAAGTATACTTACATAAAACTTTCATATCTAACATGTAAAATAAGTCACCTTTATAAATATGTACTTTTCATTATGGCATTGTCTTCTTTTCTACTTTCAAAATACTAAACATAAGACTGCAAATACCCCTTTTACATTTTAGGATCTATTTTGTTTCAGAATATTCAAGTTTCTTTCAACAAATTTGAGCTTGGAAAATTATTCGTTCTTTTTAATCTTTACCAGATGTTGTTTATACTAAAAGCATTTTTTTTCCATACTCCATAACGCAATTATTGTTTAATTAGTGATAAATCTGTCATTCCTGGGCTTAAAAAGAACCAAACTGACAAGGACCAAATGTATTTTTGTGTTTTAAATTTACACGTGCTCTGTGAGAACGCTAGGACACAGAAGCAGGCAGCGTGCAGGACGGAACTGGGATGCCCAGCTCTAGATGCTGAAGGAGAATCACTCAATCGAAAGCTCTACAGCCCCCTCGCGGCTGCTCCTGGGCTCAGCCTCTGAGTGGCAATGGCCCCCCAGGCTGACTACTGCTGTTTTTTATTTTTCCCTCTCCCTTCATCTCTGAGTGGTGGTGAAGTCCTGCACCCCTACAGTAAAGACCAAAGTTGAAACTGTGCCCTCTTTCTTTGCAGACAGTGCAGGCGGATCTGGTGCCTCCCTGAGGTCAACGCTGGGAAGTGCAACTACGGTGTGGAGATGCAGACCTTTACCTTTCAGCCACAAGCAGCAGCCATCACCACACTTTCCTATTGGATGGATGCAAAATCTACGCCTTCAGATTTCGTTAAGTTGCATGCATCACATTAAAAAGCTCAAAAAGAAGATGCTTAAAAGGAGGCTAATGAAAAAACAGAAAAAGAAACCCAGAACATTGGTGAAAAGTTATTTAAGCACAGAAAACTGACGGCATTGTCCAGGTTATGGAGTTAATTCTTCTGTATAATATTTTACTAAAGGGGGAATTGTGTACTGGAATTTCGTGAAAAGGAAGTTTTGGGTTTTTTTTGGAGTGGCTCAGATTGTTATCTGAAGAATGAGAAAAAGACTGCATCCTATCTCCTATCAATAAATGTCAAGGATAATACTGAGCTATCTGGATGCTTTGCATTTTTAAGTTTTTATTAGACAAAGAAACAATTTTAATTACATCATGAAGACACTGAGCTAGAAGAGGATGCAAGGAGTATTCTCTGATTTGAAATCTGATTAAACAAAAACAGCCCTGCCTCTCCAGTGCCCTTTCCCCTCTGTTCTTCCTCTGCTCCCCACTCTCCCATCAGCAAATCTGCCTGGGAGGAGAGGGGCAGCTCTTCTGGACCCAGCCTGCTTGTCGGGCTGCATGTGGGGCTGGCTAAGGAGGAGCGAATGCAGGGGCCTGGGAACCGGGGCACAGCCAAGCACAGTGCCACCCACCACCCGGCCAGCACTTCTCATTCAAATGTGCAATCCAAACAATAGCTTTCTGCTCTCCAAAAGAGGAATTGTTACTGGAAAACATCACATCCTTCTGATTCAGGGCCAGCCTTGGGAAACTGAACGATGCCAAGAAAGCTGCATAATTAGCAAATGCCTTTCACTGCTTTCTTACCATCGATATTAAGCCAGATCTGGGACTACGGATTACAGTCTTCCAGGGCCTGGGCAATCAAAGGAAACACAAGACCATCTGCTTTTGAAAAGTTTCAGTCTGTACAATCAACGACAAACTGGAGTTAACACTGTGACTTATTTAAACCAAACCAAACTCACTGCCATTGAGTCGATTCTGACTCATAGCGACCCTGTAAGACAGAGTAGAACTGCCCCATAGAGTTTCCAAAGCTGTAATCTTTATGGAAGCAGATTGCCACATCTTTCTCCTATGGAGTGGCTGGTGGGTTCAAACTGCTGAACTTCTGGTTAGCAGCTGAGTACTTTAACCACTGCGTCACCAGGGCTCCCTGTAACTTATTCAGGAGCCACCAAATACTGTAGGCGGCCATTTACCTGGAGGGGGTGCGGCCCACGGAAGCCAAAGGGTGAACTTCCAAAGTCAACAGGCTTTTGAAAATGTTATTTTTATTTCAGAAGTCAAATGCATATAGACACATTTAGAATTTGGTGGTATTATATTAACTTCTTATTATTCAGGTCTTAATGGAAAATACCAGGCCTCTGAGTCCCTGAAAAGCCAAATAACATTTGGGGAGGTCATTTCGCTTTGTGCAACCTGTACCACACTTTTATCTTTTGTTTTTGTTACGTCTTGGTAACTATAGAATTTCCAGTACTAATTCTGGGTAGTCCCAAGGGATGGAAACATAATTAACAGTGCTCCATATAACGTACAAGTTACTCAGACCATCACACTTTAATTACTCTCAGAATCCAAATATAATGTAATAGGTATCGAGTTTCTCCTGTAGAAAAGCACAGCCGTCTCGTGCTGAGTCCCAGCGATCTCTCTGATACCTCTGGACAGTCCTGTCACTGCACCGAGAGATACTGTGCTGCGATAAATGCGTCAGATGATGCAATTAGGAAGCAGCTCTTCAGGTTACCTGTCTAATCACGAAGTCACGTCACAGGCTTAGCCCAGCCTGCCTGGCTCTCTGGCGATGCCTGTGAGCAAAGCCCACTCCAGCCAGGGACTCTGGCTCACCATCTGCATTGTAATTACCTCTCTGAACTGAAAGGCACAGGGAGGTCACATCCTGAAAACGCCACAATAAATTAAACCAAATAACACTCTCCAGCCCTTTAACCATAGTGGAAGCTCTGAATCTCCACACACACGATCCTGATAAATGCTTTTGTAAATCAACTGGCTGAGAAACTGTGTGACTGGGGGAGATTACTTTAAACTATGAACTGGAGACTGAAGACTATACAGTGTGATGTTGAATGGGAGAGTCTGCTCTCTCTCTCATGCCCAGCGATGCGCTGAGCTTCCCAAAGTGCTGCTCGAGCCTGAGGTCGGTCCACAGGCAGGAAGGACACGGAGGGGCTCAGAGAAGAGCCCAAAGCTGTGTGAAGGGTTGCCAAATCAAACCAATCTAGAAAAGCCAGTGGAACTTTGATTTTTCAATATGGCGAAAACTTAATGGGCTGCCAGGGGCCTTCTAAAAGCCTTTGTTTGTTTTAAATTTTATTGTAATTATTTTTAAATAAGATGCATTCTATTTCTCACCTTAATATGCATCTCTTTGCGATGGTAAGGTCAAGTGGTAATTATCCTCTTTGGGCTCTATCTCAGTCTTAATATACACATACCTTCCTTTTTTGTTCTCTATCAAAGACTACACTTTCAAATCCATTGGGTTCAATCTGTGCTACCTCACTTACTGGTGAAGCAGCATGGATATCAGAGGACTGCAACACGACCCAGATTTGCCTGGGCAGCCACAGACCAGGAAGGCAGAGGGGAGCCCATGAAATGGAGAACAGGCAACAGTGCCATGAACAGGCACAAGTGAGCTGGTGGGGAAGGAATGGGGCCTAAAGAGAGAAACAGAACACAGGAAGAAGGCAACTGATTCAATTATGAGTCCCTTATGTTGTTTCCAATTTGAAAGCAAAAGAAAGAAAACAGCACATTCCAACTGAATTAAACCAACAGAAGGTGTCTGGGAGGTGGGATTGTGTAAACTCAGTCAGGTTAGCACCGAGCATTCCATGCACAGAGCTGCATCTGCCCAGCCTCATCCTCAGCTGGAGGCGACCACTCTCCTTCCCAGGCTCCTTGCCACCAATGTAAGATCTGACTCTTCACCATCTTTCTCTGCAAGAGTGCTCTCCATCTGCACAGTAGGAAAGATCTCTGCCCATACTTCCCACAGGTCGTGAAGGCCAATGAGAAAACACACGAAAGCCCTGAGGTGCTCGTAAGACAACATAAACACCCAAGTTTTCTGAATGGCTTTTTCACGTTGCATGGGTCTTTTTACTCCTGTTCTTACACAAATGCACACAAATACCATGGAGGTGCCACCCACAGAAGGAAAACATCCTGATTGGCCAGGTTGTGAGGATTTCCTGAAAGGTCCTAGCCCGCCTGAAATCTGACTAGCAATGGGGGTACCTGTGGCCCACAGACTCCCCTACGTCACAGTCCTTAGTATGAAGGGAGACAGGCGAGCCATTTGCACACAGGGAGGTTCCAAGGCTGACAGCCTTCAACCAAAAGAAAACATAGAGAATTCTTAGTTGTTTTTGTTGTTTTAACCATTTCTCTGGGGGTTTGTTTTGTTTTGTCTTTTTTTGAGTATTTAATTTTCCTCTAGTGAAGAGCTAAAAGGTTATTTCTTAAATGTTTTTCTTTCTTAATTGATTCTTCTTCTCATCTGTAAGATCTTCAGTTTTTAAAAGCCCACTTTTCATGCTGAGATGAGAAATACTATTTTTAAAAAGTTTATGTTGTCTAAGTGTCAATTCTTGGGAATATGTGATATAAAGTGCAACAGAATCAAGTACACCTTGAATCTCTATTTTACCCACATGCGCAAAGTATGCATAAGCAGAAAAGCCTCATATTAGGTATCTTTAAAAAATAAAATATAAACATATGATTATTTTAAACGGTTCTAATTGCTTTTTTGTTTACTTTTTCCTTCTTCGACTAGAACAAATGGTACCCAGCATTCTCTTTAAGGCTCTCTCTCCTCATCCAAGTGCAGCACGTACCAGCAATGAATCTTTTATAAAGCACTCAATCCTCTGCAGACAATTTCTCTCACTGGAGATTAACTTTTCAAAAAGATGCAGCGTTGCTTTTTCAAGGCTGGGAAGATGGCGAAGCCAGAGGCAGACTACAGCCAACGTGGGAAGAGAAATCTTCTTCCTTTCAGTAAGAAGTAAACAGAATAGTAATAGAAATGGATTACTGAAAGAAGATTAAGACAAGTTCAAAATGCAATTACTCATCCAATGTGTGAAACTTCTTTTTATTAGGGTCAGAGCAGCAATTAATAGTTATAAAACCCATTGCTGTCAAGTCAATTCCAACTCATAGCAACCCTACAGGACAGAGTAGAACTGCCCCATAGGGTTTCCAAGGAGCAGCTGATGGATTCGAACTGCCAACCTTTTGGTTAGCAGCCGAGCTCTTAACCACTGCGTCACCAGGGCTCCTAACAGTTATAGTATCCATGAGTATTTACCAAGTATCAATTTGTAAAATAATGCGAATGTGCCTCTACTCCAGTTCACCTTAATTAGAAAAATGTTCAGAGAAATGAAAAAAAATGCTTTCAAGAAGGATAAGCAAATATATTCTGACAGAAGAAAAAGAGAGTGATAAAAAATGAGATGGAGAAGGCCTTGCTATACCCAGGTAAGTGCAGTCCTAACTGAAGGAATGCTTCTGTTTGAAAGTGCATCAAATTGTTTAAAGTGAGGACTCAGACCTGGGTTTAAGTCCCAGCATCACCACCTACTAACTTATGACTTGTGAAAGTCACTTAACATCTAAACCTGTTTTCTCGTCTGTAAAATGGCTGTATCTCTCTCATAGCGTTGTTATAAAGATCGAATACAATAACACACATACAGTGATGAGCGCAGTGCTTGGTACATAGTAAATGTTCAATAACTATATTTGTAAATCTGTTGTTTGAAAGTTAACAAACATATTTCTTCAGTAACAATTTCATATATGGTAGTTATGGCCTAGTCGATCCATAGTGGACCTTAAGCATAATACTTTATAGACACTAACCATTTTGTGCAGCTATATTTCTACAGGAATATGTTTTTGGAGGTTCCTCTTGTGTCAGTGAATTAGGGAGGAAGTATGAGGGGACATCTGTGGATCTCTGAGCCACTGGTGGTGGCTCTGGGGTGGCAGCAGGGCTGTCCTCCAGGGCCTCCATTGCTCTCCCTGTGAACAGCTGGCCTACTCACTTGGTTGGACTTGTCTTTCTACTCTTGGCCCTGCTTTTCCAGGGCCTCCTGCCCTTCTCACCTGTGGAGTCACAGACAGCAGGGGCCTTTCAAGATCTGCCATGATGCTCACCACCATGAATATGAAAAATTAAAGTTGGGACACAAAGGTTCCCCATTTCCAACAAGCCCATCCTATCACAATAACTTGTCTCCCAAAGTAGGATTCACTCCTGCACAGTGGCTGTGGGACCCAAGCCTGAGATACTTCACTGCAGGAGCTGGTGAAAGGCCTGGGGAACAGACACAGAGGCAGGAAAAGAATAGGGTGGGGGACATGGGGAAATATTTCTAGTGATTTATTTTTCTTCTCCCTCAGCATAACTCCTGCAGACTTTGTCCTGGATCCAGAATAGAAGCTGAGGAATGTGGAGGGGCTGTCATAAGAGCAGGCAGAAAGGGCAGGAGAAAGGGAGGGAGGGAGTGGCCCTCCTCTGACCCTGTTTCTGATCTCAATCCCAGCATGAGCTTCAACTCTTCTGGGAAGCCGTGCAGGATCCCCACCCCTACCCCAACCTTTCCACATCAGTCAAAGAAGAACTGCCACAGCGCCCCTGCCCCCTCACCACCTGGCACACTTTGGGAGCTGCACTATGGAGGTCCTGTCTTGTGGCACTAGTGCTTTGGGCTACAATTTCCATGTCTTGCTCCCATTATACTTGATGGCAAGGAGCTTGTGTTCATTCATTCATTCATTTCCTCACTGGAAGCATGATTACCGAGCACTTCCTATATGGCAATCACTGTGCCAAGGGCAGGCTAAACAAGCGTAAACAAAACAGACCTAGTCTGCACCCTCAGCAGCTCAAAGGCTAGTGGGAGATACTTCAGATAAATAAATGAAATAGTGATAAAAGCTCTGAAGGAAAAGAGCAGGTGGAGGTAAAACAGTTAAGGAGGGACCTAATGTAAATCGGGCATTAGGGACAGCCTCTCCAAGCTGAGCTGGGAGTTAGCTGGGTGAAGGGTAGAGGGAAGAATATTCCAGCTGAGGGAACAGCAGCTGCAAAGGCGCTGAGACAGGGAAAAGCAAGGTTCAGAAGCAGAGAGAAGGCCAGTGTGGCACACAGGGAGCTGGGGGCGATGGCCCGTGATGAGGCTGTGGGGCACCATGCGCCAAGGTAAGATTTACAATTTTATTGTTTATTCTGGCTTGCAGGGTGTTAAAGATCTGATTACATTTCAAAAGACAACGCTGACTGCTGTGTGGAGAAAGGAACACAGGGACAAGGGTGGGTGCAGGCAGGCCAAAGGTCAAGAAAGTGGCGGTGGCCGAGAAGGAGTGAAGAGTGTCTGAAACATATGTTAGCAGGAATATCAAGAGAACTTGGCAACAAATTTGGTAAAAGGTGGGGATGGAAAGGCAGGAATCAAGGCTGTCTCAGGTTTCTTGAGCAACGAGATGGATGGGTATACCATTTACTGAGGTGGAAAGAAGGGAAGACGAGCAAGTTCGTGAAGAGTTTACTGAGTGCCCAGTTTAGGGTGTGTGAATTTAGAATGTCTGAGCCACAACCAAATAGACATATTAAATAGGTCCTTGAGTATCCAAGTCTGAAATTCTGGTGAGAGGTCTAGCCTAGAGATCTACATTTGGGAGCTGTCAGTGGCACATAAAGTCATGAGAATGGGTGAGAACTCTGAAGGAGAAAGCTCTGAGTGAGGAGAGAAGAAGGCCTAGGTTTGTGCCCAAGGAATGTCCACACTTAGGCCTCAGGTAGAAGAGGAGTTGCAGACAGAGATGGAGAAGGAGCTGCCAGACAAGCAGAGGACAATGTCACCAGAGGAAGAGAAGCCACGACTTGAGAAGGCAGGCCCAGTGGTGACCAACACTGCCAAGGAGTGAGAAGGGGAGAGGACGCCAAGCATTGCACTGGCCCTTTGTGACCTCCCAGGAACACTGTTTTGATGGGTGATGGAAGCTGGAGGGGAGAGTGTGGAAGGAGAGGAAGTGGGAGTGCAGCCAGAATGGATAGGCATGTCTTCAGAGGGACAGCGTCCAAGGGAGCAGACGCCAGGAGGCAGCTGAGGGGTTGGTATTGTGTGGCCATGGAAGGGTGGTGTTTAGAACAGCATGGCTGACTGATAATGGAAAAGCTGAGAGGAGAGGGAGCGGTTGAAGGACCAGTAGCTACCACTGATTAAGCCTGGAAGGGAATCACTGGGTGGAGTGAGTGGTTAACACGCTTGGCTGCTAACCGAAAGATTTGAGGTTCAAGTCCACCCAGCGGTGTCTCAGAACAAAGACATAATCATCTACTTCTAAAAAATCTGCATCTGAAAACCCTATGGAGTACAGTTCTACTCTGCAATACGTGGGGTTGCCATGAGTTGGAATCGACTCAATGGCAACTGGTATAAGCCTGGAACGATGCTAAGTTTTTTATTATTGAACTTTAGATGAAGGTTTACAGAGCAAACTAGCTTCTCATTAAACAGTACATATACTGTTTTATGGCACTGGTTAACAACCCCATGACCTGTCAGTACTCTCTCTTCTTGACCTTGAGTTCCCTATTACCAGTTTCCTGTCCCCTCCTACCTTCTAGTCCTTGCCCCTGGGCTGATGTGCCCCTTTAGTTTTGTTTGGTCCTATGGGCCTGTCTAATCTTTGGCTGAAGGGTGAACCTCGGCAGTGACTTCATTACTAAGCTAAAAGGGTGTCCGGGGGCCATACGGTCGGGGTTTCTCCAGTCTCTGTCAGGCCAGTAAGTGTGGTCTTTTTTTTTTTTAGTTATAATTTTGTTCTACACTTTTCTCCTTCTCTGTCTGGGACCCTCTATTGTGATCCCTGTCAGAGCAGTCAGTGGGGGTAGCTGGGCACCATCTAGTTGTACTGGACTCAGTCTGGTAGAGACCATACTAGTTGTGGTCTATTAGTCCCTTGGACGAATCTTTCCCTTGTGTCTTTAGTTAACTTCATTTTCCCTTGCTCCTGAAGGGGTGAGACCAGTGGAGTATCCTAGATGGCCGCTCCCAGGCTGTTAAGACCACCAGATGCTACTCACAAAGGTAGAATGTAGAACATTGTCTTTATAAACTATGTTATGCCAATTGAACTAGATGTTCCCTGAGACCATGGTCCCCACAGCCCTCAGTCCAGCAATTCAGTCCCTTAGGGAGTTTGGATTTGTCCAAGGAGCTTCCATGACCTTATCCTGAACAAGTTGTGCTGGCTTTCCCAGCATTGTGTACTGTCTTACCTTCACCAGAGTTACTACTCATCTGTTGTCTATTTAGTGTTTTCCCACCCCTATCCGTCGCCTCTCCCGTATCCGTCAAAGATTGTTTATTTTTGTGTGTGAACCTTTTCATGAGTTTTTATTGTAGTGGTCTCATACGATATTTATTCTTTTGTGATTGACTTATTTCACTCAGCATAATGCCATCCAGATTCATCCATGTTGTGAGATGCTTCACAGATTCATCATTGTTAGTTTATCATTGCGTAGTATTCCATTGCGTGTATGTACCATAGCTTGTTTATCCATTCATCTGTTGATGGGTATCTAGGTTGTTTCCATCTTTTTGCTACTGTGAACAATGTTGCAATGAACATGGGTGTGCATATGTCTATTCGTGTGACGACTCTTATTTCTCTAGGATATATTCCTAGGAATGGGAATGCTGGATCATATGGTATTTCTATTTCTAGCTTTCTAAGGAAGTGCCATATCGTTTTCCAAAGTGGTTGTACCATTTTGCATTCCCACCAGCAGTGCCAAAGAGTTCCAATCTCCCCACAGCCTCGCCAGCATTTGTTATTTTCTGTTTTTTTGATTCATGCCAGTAATGCTGGGGTGAGATGGTATCTCATTGTGGTTTTGATTTGCATTCCCCTAATGGCTAGTGATAACAAGCATTTCCTCATGTGTCTATTAGCCACCCGTATATCTTGTT